AAGCGTGCTCCAGCTGAGCCCCTGGTTGCAGGGGCTCCTGCATGCGGATCCTAAGAAATTGCTGACAAAGGGCAAAATAAATAAGAGACTAGCATCTAAATGTAGTCTTTAACATTGTTTAAGTTGAATTTTGCATGAAAGTTCTGTAAGCATCTAGATTATGGGGAAAATGCACTACAAAGGAACACTAGTGAGGCAGGCCTCAGACTTGTTCTTCCCAACAAAAGGTCAGAAGCTGTTAGAAGGACTTAGGGATTCAAATGCCAAATAGTGCACATTGTAGCAATTTTACCCCGAGGCAGTAGTCAGTCAGGGGCAAGCAGCAGAAATGCATTACCAAGTACATAAGGTATAAAGCATCCCATAGAATTCCTGAAATCCATTTTTTGTGTATGTCATGATTGACTGAAAGATGAATCAAAATCAGAATGGACAGATGGGAAGGCATGGTGAAAGCAAACGTAGCAGCCTGTCAGTGGAGACCCTGGGTGCTGGCTGGGCACTTGGATGTGCGCTACATGATGCTTTTAATTTTTTTCCATAATAAAATTTTGGGAAATCCGCCCCCAAAAAAGTCCCTAAGTAGGGCATCATAAATAAATGAAGGGAGCAGTGCTTTGTATTTAACTTATTTAAATATAGAGCTTATATGGTGGTTGTAAATACAGTTACAAATCGAACTTCTTCGTGCCATGTTTGTAACATTTTTAAGAACTGGAAACCAACTAGTTCAATTGTAGGAGAACTGTTAAATTGTAAATAGAAAAGTAAGTGAAGTGTTATATAGCCATTGATAGAATTTTTATAACAAACACAATCTATGTGTTGTGAAATAGGCAAGTAAAGCCCCTGTATGCACAGAAATGAATATAAATAAATACCTCAAAAGGTTACCATAAGTTATCTCTTTTATTTTTAAAACAATAATATCCATTATTTCTTAATCAGAAAAAAACCTATTTGGTTAAAATAACCTGCTTTATAAATAAGTTTGGAATTTCCTACTAGGGACTCTCTACAGTTGCCATCTAGGCAAGATACATGATTGGAAACTGTTTCTCAGGCCTTGCTGAGAGATAACACTGCCAAGGAAGCAAAACAATGACTTAAGTAAATGAGATCAATAAATTACAAAAAACCCAGACATTACAAATTTCTCCTGCAGCCCTTCACTACTCTTACTTGTCTGGGGTCTCAGTCCTTGTTGACTTGCTTTCCAGGCACCATCTCCTGGGGGGACTATTTTCTGTCACCCAGTTGTGTTCCCCTCCTTTGCAGGATACTGAGGCCACTGTTGCATTTCATTAATTTCATTCCACTTCCAGATAATTTTTAATGCAGACAGGTGTTTGCAAGGAGTCTGACGTGAATGCCATAACTGTATTGCTTTCCACCAAGGATAATGTCCAAGCAGGAGATATAAAAGCAGTCAGATCTGTAGGGTAAACTGATAAGGAGAGAACTGCCTACCATCTCAAAGATGGGTCACATGCTGATCCTTGTGATTTCTGTGTGATTGATGTGCAAACTGGCAATAGTCAGGGACTTTGTGCACATGACGGAATAACAGGGCAGGGAGACATTTTTAGTTTCTCTTTGCAATAGATGTTTTCCACCCTAAATATATTTGGCCAACAAATAGTATAGTTTTGGCAGAAGATAATGGTGATCTTTAACATTTGGAATGAAGAAAAAAATGTAATAACACTGAATATCAAATTCTTGATATATCTTCAGTAGTTTCAGTCCTCTGGTCTCCCTGATAATACTTAAGAAAAAATAGCAGTCATTAACCATTGTATTTTTTTCATAGCAGGTATAACATCTATGGTAGCAAGCAAAGTCTAGAAAATGTTTTCCTTTTATAAATCTACAAATGGCTAACAAATTGAAATGCATAAAATTAATCAAAGAGGAATGACCCCATCCCTGAAAACCGTTTCAACCTTTCCTCTATTTTCATTAGAATTAATACTTAATCTGAGCAAATGGAATCCTGTTTTTCTGTTTTGTTTTTATGTTGCCCTATTATTGCAGTCAGTAAATATTTAGTGGAAATACTTTGGTCAGAGCAGAAGGTGTGCAATAGATGCCAGGCATAATGAGAGAACTAGAGCACCCTGGAGGATCAGAGCACTGCCAGAGGCAGAAAGATGTGAGGGGATCTAGGCAGTGGACAATCCTTCTCTTTCTGCAGTGTCCTTGGGCTCTGTAATATGAAAGTGTTGATTTTGGCTAAGAAATTGGAACTCATTACTAATGGTCTCAGAACGATGGAGAACTTAATTTCTTCCCTTGTTTAAGAAGTCATTCAAATTCCCCTCCATAGGAAAAGTGGCAATTTCCTTGGCACCTTGACTCATCAGCTTTGTTAATGTCAGTGTTTTGGGGATTTTTATTTGCCATCATATCAACAATTTTTCATATGCTTTATGCTTGTGTGTGTGTGTGTGTGTGTGTGTGTGTGTGTGTGTGTGTGTGTGTGAGAGAGAGAGAGAGAGACAGAGACAGAGACAGAGACAGAGACAGAGACAGAGACAGAGGTCAGGGAAAGAGCTAACCTGCATATAATTTGCTCCTGCCAGGTCACGGAAAGTCAGAGCAGACAGATGGAGCACTTGGGCTCCACCTGCTGGCAGCTGGCATCACAGCAGCCACACTGTCAGGTCTAAAGCAGATCCAGCCAATGATACCTGTTTAAATCATTTAACAAAGGAAAGATGAAAACATGTATGTCTTACAATAGTAAAATGTGATACAATCAAGTTGATAGGTATATAGAGCTCTAGAGGTAAATCAGGCACTTGTTATTAACATTCTATTTGTATGGAGAGATAAGAAAATTACCTTTGAGAACACAGTCAGTGCTTCAAAGAAATATATTCTCTCCTCGAGCTATACCAAATCAGTTGAGAATGAAATCCAACTATTAGTATTAAGTGCTTGGAACATAAACATATGGAAGAATTTATGTATAATCACTTGGGGGAATAGCCTGTCAAATAACATGGTGGCTGCTTTTTTACTTGTACCAATAGGTGTGTCTGTGTGCGTGTGGTGGTATCACTGTCTGTTCACACTGTCTGCATGTTCTAGAGTCCGTCTGGTATGGAGCTACGGGAACCCGTGGGAAGGTCACTCTGTAGTGTGATTTTTCCAGACTGGAAATCATGTATCACCTAGAATTGTGACACCACAACCTGCTTTCTGCATTTAAGCCCATAAGCCCACTGTATGTGCACTGTCTTTATGTTCGGCTTCTAATGTGGAAGAAACTTTGCGATGCCCATAGGGTCCTGAAGAAAGCTTGTTGCTTTCTCCAACAGTAAACCTACAAGGAATTGTTCAGTGTTCTTCCTGGAATTAAGATAACCGCCTTGCTTATGTTCTTATTATTACTCTTGACATTAGGAAAATAACAGCCATAAAACAGTCAATGTTTATTTAAAATGAGGTGCAATTCTCTTAAATTTTTAAATAAACTTTTGTTACAGAAATTTTCAGTCATTCACCAGATATAAATCCCCATGTACCTGTTACCCCACTATCAGCATTTCTAATTCACTGTGAGTAAATATGCTACAATTCTGCACTTATCTACTTTAATGACAAGGTAGAAAAAGGAAATTATGCTACATCTGAGCTAGTGGCTACATTTTGGTTCACTGCACATTCACTGCACAGCCAAATCCTCAGAATAAGAGATCCTCGTAAGAGAAGGAAGTAAATTTCCAAGAATATGAATAGTTCTTGGCCATAAAACAAATAGTACAGCTATTAACATAGTTTTTCATTCCTAAAGTAAAACAGTACATTGTAGAAAAATGTAAGCTGAAACAGGTTATTTTTACTTAATCTATAACCTGTAAATTTGAAGCAGAAAAATGTTTCTTTAAATCCTTGCCACGGGCGGCAGGCGTGGGGGTGGTGACCTCGTCGCCCGTTTCGGACGCCCGGCGCTGCAGGCACACTCCACCCCCCTTCTCCGCGTTCTGGGTTTGACAGTTGCTGTCTGCCACACGAGGGCTTTCCTGGCTTCACAGGACACACTGGTGGGATTTATTTGATAAAGGAAAAGAATGTCTAATGCTAATCACATCAGATAGCAAGAGTGATTTTTGAAATATGTGTCCTGGGCTCCTTCTTCCTCGTCTTTCTGATTTGAACCTCTAAAATCAGGTCTGCCAGGGTGGGGTTAGAGTCTTGATAAAAACTTGGACTCTATAACCAATTTGTTCAAATTAAATTTTTGATTGTACTTTCTGCATTTCATTATTGCAAGTTTAAATACTACTTAAATTTCTTTCGATTGGCTCAACCTTAGAAACAAAATTTTCTTTTTGTTTTTCATTTTACCTATCCCAGCAGACAACCCAAAATCCTATTTGACTTTGATTATAATGAATATTCAATAATAAAATAATTTTTCCTTCATTCTCAAGAAGTCTCATGAGAAAATGCCCTAATTTTTTTTTTTCCCCTAAATGAGATTTAGCTTCTGGGACCTTCTCCATGAAGATTATAAGGTTTATACTGAAATGCAGTTTTTCTAAATACTGGCGTTGTGTGGTGAGGAGGCTTGTCTCATGTAGCTCTGTTCCATGACCCCGGTGTTGGGGCCAGGCCCCACCCACTTTGTGGCTCTGGTGTCCTCTAGGACCTTGTATCATCCGCTTTCAGGCAACAAAAATGGAATTAGCTGGGGAAGGGACCACCCACACTTTGAAAGCCATGTCTCAGGAACGGCATGTGTCGCTTTGCTACACCGCACTGCGCGGAAAGCTGAGGAAGGCAGCCTTGTGGGCGCCCAGGAGAGGGAGGGGTCAGAGTTGACCAAGCGATGGCAGCCTGCTGTACCAGGAGGCTGGGCCTCAGTACCTTGCAAAGGGAGCTTTGAAATCCAGTGAGCCTCCGCAGAGGGGAGAGAAGGAAAGCGCTAAACTTAACTCCCACTGAGGTCCGGGAAACACAAACGCGGCCCGCTTGGTGCTTGTTTGCAGATCCTACCTGGAACCGAAGCTGATGGGACTGTGGGAGCGCTGGTGTCGGCCGCGGAGGGGGCCCCGGCAGAGGAAGCAGAGACAGAGGAGGCGGCTCCTCCTCCTGGGGAAAGAGCAAGTTTAGAGGAGGCCGGGGTTGATCCTGAAACCACAGAGGTCGTAGGCAGTGACAGACCTCAACCAGAAGACACAGAAGCGGCAGCACCGCAGGTACGTGTCCTAGTGAAATGGAGGTTCTAGGGAGATGGCGCAGCTGGGATGCTCCATCTGCTGGTTAATGGAGATAATGTAAAGGATGGGAATGTAATCGTAGCCTTTTGGGGGCATACTGCTGTCCCAATAAAGAAACAAACAAAAAATCAGATTCTCAGAAAGACTGGTCACAGCACACAGCATTTTCTCAATGTCAGGATTCTGGGGTTCCACACAAGCCCCCAGTGCTGTGGGAGAATGGGTTTAAATTAAACACTGAGAGAGGAACGGAAACTATGCAGTAAATTGATGGAAGAAAGGGAAGAAACACAGATGACAAAAACCTTGAGAATAGAGGGAGGAGAAAGGGAATATGATGGAATAACATGATTGTTGTGTGGATTATGTGAGGAAATAGCCACAAAGTGCTTGGCCTAGTGCGCAGGCACCTGCTGAGAACCCAAATTCACCCCAAATTAAGCTCCTTTTACCTAAAACCCATCCTTATGTTGTACTTTCAAAAGGAAGATGGGTCATTCACTACATACATGAGTTGGGCTTTGCCCAGCTCTTCTTCCTTCAGAGAAGCTTTCAAGGCAACAGTGCCATGTATGCTGGGGCTGTGGGAGCCTCCAACCCGGGTGCCCTGCAAGGACAGATGCTCTAAACCCCATGTTTGGTTCCTCTATATGCTAGCAGGTGACAGTGGAGAGTGGGCTTAATGTTCTATGTTCCATTTTTCTCATTACTTTACTCATGATAAGTTTCCAGAATTCTGTCCAGAGTTACTCAGTATTTGAAACTGAATTATCTTTTTCATCCCACTAGAAAATCAGCAGGTTGTATTGGTGTTTGAAGAAATACCTCAAAAGTGTTTTTTATTTTTTGAGTTATTTTCTTGTCACCATGCCAAGAAAAATTTTGTTATACTTCTTAAAGGAACGTATTATTTTCTCCAAATTGAAGAATGAAAGTGCTCAGGTACGATGATATCTGAGGGAATATAGAAGTTAATATGAAAAGCAAGAAACATCTCCAGACTTTCATTAGGGGAGTTAAGCTCCCCTCCTTGCTCATCTTTGTCAAAACATACAAGGGAGGATTTGATCCCTTGGTTCTGCTTGCCCAGACAACAGAGTACTTGGAGTGGTTGGTGGAAATTGTCATCCCTTAAACTGTGACTGTGGTGTGGCTCTAGTGATAATCAAGAAGCAAAGGACAGGTAGATTACCTCCAATCGTGGACCTATCTTTACCAGCAATGTGGTTTCAAGATCTTTGAGAGTCCCATGGAATTCTGGGAAAAAAGCAGTCACAGGATGTTACATGTCAGCTACAAGTGAGTGTTAGCGTTTAAGTGGGACAAGAATGGACAACCAAACAAATGAGACCATCCTTGGAAGCTGAGTGCATTTCCTTGCAGAACTCTCTCTTCCAGCCCACTGTGACTCACTTCCCTCCCTGCAGTCTCCTGTCCTTCTTCCCAGGTGACACAGACACCACCCTCTTACCAAGCTGGATGATTGTCCCAGGGTCCAGAAATGAATCCCACTAAGGGTGTCTGACTCAGGAGAGAGAGAAAGGAGGAAGGCCCTGCAGGCAGAAGGCCCAAGGGCCAGAAAGCCTAAATCCAGTTTGGGGGACAGCAGGCCTTTAGTTGAATGAGGGGGGTGGGGGACGAGGGAGCCAAGGAGGGTGTGACGGGAAGGATGCAGATGTCTTGTCTCCAAAGGACCGCCACATGTTTCTTCCCCCAGGAGAAGGTCATCCCCTCTGTCGTCATAGAGCCTGCTTCCAACAATGAAGGAGAGGGAGAACACGAAATAATTACAGGTGCAGAGTCCAAGGAGGCGACTGAAGGCTCGGCTCTTCCAGGCCCCACCAGGGAGACGCCGGAACAGGCCTCCGAGCAGAAGGCCGCTGAGGACTTCCAACCAGCAGCCTCCGCGCCGTCTGCAAGCGAGGCCTCTCAGGAAGTGCCTCCCGGCTTTCTCTACAAGGTCTATTTTCAATTTTAAAAATCTTGTAACCATTTGTCCTTCTTTTATTTTGAGGCCCTCTTACTCAAACCTTTGCTGTCTGAATTTTACTTTTACTTTTAACAGTACATACTCTTTATCCGTGCCACTTTCCCCTCCATCCCAGCATCACATTGCAGCCTGGTGGGATTTCTGTGCTGAAGACAAAGGAGAACTACAATGACATCTTTCCTTTTAACAAATGGATAATTAAACGATATGCCTTTTGGTGGAGAATGGGTTAGTGTCCTCCTCTGCTCCCCACGGAGCTTTGTGGGGGCTTCTGCTCTGCGCTCAACTGCTCCCAGCTGGATCACACACCTCCGGAGGGCAGGAAAGAGCGAGCGGCCATCCAGCTCGGGCAGCTTGTTGCAGGGCATGACACAGAGTAGGGAGCCAATGCATACTTTAAAAGTAAGTGAATAAATACGGTGATGGGCTTCTATGAAAGAGAAGAGAAAATGAGGCCTGTTTATGGGCAGAAGGTTTTGCTCAGAGAGGCCGTCAAGTGGTTACACTGAGCCGTCATAAGCTGAAGGTCCTTACAAAAAAGAAAAAAACAACAGCAGCAAATACCTAAATACACAGGCTTCTACCAAGTGTTAAAGGCAGCTAACCCTCCTTAATAAAACATTTTTGGGAACTTTAAGTTCCATAATTTCGTTTTACATTTCAAAATTCAGCTTTAAAAAGGTGTTAAATTTTTGTGTGTTTGTCAGGGTGGAAATGGATAGTCATAATCTTTTTCTACTCTCTCTGCTCATTTCTTACTGCTGCCTTGCTACCTCAAATGGGGACAGGTGGGTGTAATGGAGTTATGAGGAAATAATGTGAAGAAAAAAACTGAACGTGAGGCTAGTGGGGGCGTGTGTCCCGCCGTATTTCATTTGAGACGCAAGGAACCGAGGGTGCGGGTGCCCCGGGAGGCCAGGCCTGGCCGGGCCGCCCCAGGCTCCCCTCCCTGACTGACTGCAGTGGGAGCGGGAACACGACTCCGCCCCCTCTCTGGGCTTCAGGCTTTTCATCCGAAGACAGAGTTTGCGGATAAGATAGTAATTTCCAGCTCTGACAGCTTACGATGCTACATGCAAAACACACATTTTAAAAGCTGATTATGTAATCCCATGAATGGAATTGGGGCGGGGGGGAATGTGAAAGGAATAAACCTGGGGTGTGACTATAGTTATTCAAGCTGCATAATGGGGGTTCATTTTACTATTCTTTCTATTTTTAAAATTTTTTCATGATCAAATTTTAAAGAAATCTTCCAAGAAAGGGAAATGGAAACAGATTGTCATGTTTAAAAGTTAGGATAAGGAAAGAACAAGAAAGAGATTGAACACAGGTTTCATTAAATAGTGATTTTTTTTTTTATAAGTGGTAGTTTATTATAAATAGTGATGGTTTTCCCATTGTGATAGAAGCTGTGTTTAAAGGAATCTTCTGCTAGGCATTTTTAGTTCAGGTTAAAAAACAAACAATAATAAAGCATCAGTGATAATCAAATGCAAAACTGTAACAAAAATATGATGAATTAAACCAATCGACATGCCACATTTCAGCTCTGTTGTGTGACTAAATCCACATCCCAATCGCCTCAGCATCAGTTGGGAGAATCGGATGGTTTAAGAAACCAGAGAAGAGGATTTCCTTTCTGCCTTCAGAGGCCTTCTTCTCCTCTGGGGTGTGAGGCCCGTCTTCGTTTTTATCCAGCTTGGAGATGCTTGTAAGAGTGCCTGCGGATCATCTGACAGGGAGGCTGATTTGGCCTCTATTTCCCTTCTAACATTAATCAGCTCCTTTACAATCTTGCAGGTGGAAGCACTGCACGACTTCGAGGCAGCAAATTCTGATGAACTTACCTTACAGAGGGGCGACGTGGTGTTGGTGGTCCCCTCGGATTCGGAGGCTGACCAGGTAAAGGATGAGATTGGAAAGTGTACAGCCTACGTTTGGTTTCCCTGTGGGTCATTTGGGCACAGTGACTTCCTAAATACACATTTCATTTTCTGAGATGCTTCAAGGCAGCTCTGAGAAGGATTTAGGGGCTTATGACCACAGTACATCACACGTTTTAGGTTTGGGATGATAGTGTGTTGTTTGTTTTTTATACAAATAGACGACCATTTCTTATTAGGTATCCGCTTTCTAGGGATGTTGCCTGTGAAACACCAGTCCTCAGGACATGCAGACACTGTCCGTGTGCCCTGCAGCCCCCTTCACAAGTCCCTGCCTGTGGCGGTGTGGAGACTGACAAGGAAAGACCATGAGGGGACGCCTGGGGGATGGAGGTGTTTTATTTCTTGATGGGGTGCGGGTTACACATGGGCATGCACTTGTCACAACTCAGCTGAACTGTACACTTAACAATCTTTGCATTGCACAGTGTTTAAATTAGATCTCCTCCCTAAAAGATTCTTTTTTAGAAAAATAATCTCCAGGGGAATAGAAATCACCTCCAAGCATAGAGATCTGATGCTAAGGAGCTGAGAACTCCCTTTTGCTCTTCTTTTTCAAAAGATTTGTGAAGCCCTGAAATGGCATGCAAAATGTGTAGATGTGTCTATGAACATGTGTTTTGGAGAGAAGGGCTCTAACTTCTGTAACATTCTCAAAGAAATATACGAGCCTTCCCCGTATAATAAAGTCACTATGTTTGAGGTTAAGGCTTGCATGTCCCATGTTTGGATCTTTCTCATGATAATACACTTACCCAGAAAGATCAGGTGCTGGGTCAAGCAAACAAGAGTCTCTACCACAATAAAAATAAATCATAAATTAATAATAATAATGATAATAATATCTTTAAGAGCCCTAAATATTTAAAAATTTTTAAAAAATATTTCTATATAAACTATGGTCAAAGATATAAGGTCGATTTAAAAAAATTTCATACTGATCATTAATTTCAAGTTTTCAACCTAAGAAGATAAAAAGAGATAAAATTAAATACAAAGTACATAGAAAGAAGTAACGAACAATTCACAAATGATTGCAAAAATAAAGACACAGTAGAAAATATTAATAAAGCCAAATGTTCTTTAAAGAGATTAATAAAATTGTCCTTGCCCTTGCCAGTGTGGTTCAGCAGGTTGGAGCCTCTTCCTGTAGTCCCAAGGATCGTAGGTTCGATTCCCAGCCAGGGCATGTTCAGGTTGCCGTTGAAACACCAGTCAGGGTGTGTACACAAAGACAACCAATACAATGTGTCTCTCTAACATGAATGGTTCTCTCTCTCTCTCTCTCTCTCTTTCTTTCTCTCAATTCCTCCCTTCCTCTCTTTCTGAAAGCAATGAAAAAAAAAATAGATCCTTGGTTGAGTTTAAAAAAAAAAAAAAAGGCTTTTACCAATTCCTGTAGTGCTGATCTGCTGGCAGTAATTCCTCTCAGCTCAGCTTTTGTTTATCTGAAAATTTTATTCATGTTTGTTTTTAAGTATATTTTCTCTAGAGAAAAAATTCTGAGTTAACTTTCTTTTCCTTCCACTTTTTAAGAATATCGTTCCATTGTTTTCCAGTCTCTACTGTTTACACAACAGCAAATACTATGACTTTTGCCCTGATTGATTTTAAGCACTTGTCTGTATCATGTTCAATCATTCTAGATCTAATGTGCTTAGTTCTTGTTTTTTTCATAGTTCTCATGGTTGAGGTTCACTGAACTCCTTAGATTTGTATCCTGATGTTTTTCACTACATTTGAAAGACTATCAGCTGTTATTTCTTAATTTTTTGTTTCTCCTTTTTCTTTTGTCCACGATTCTACATATGTTGGACTTCTAGATGGCCAAAACTGTTCTTTTTTGTTCAATATTTATTTCTCTCTGGCACGCTGGTTGGATAACTTCTACTGACCTGTATTTTAAGCACACTAACCTTTCCTTCCGCTATTTTGAATTTGTTGTGAAGCTTATCCTGTGACTTTTTTATGTAGGATATTGTCTACATAGTTCTATAATTTCTATGTTCTTTTATATAGTTCTCATGTCCTTTCTGATTTGTGTTATCTACTCTCATTACCATCTCTTAATTTCAGTACATGAACATATTTGTAATAACTTCTTTAAATTTCTCCCTGCTAATTCATCCCAGGACACATTTCTACTGATTGTTTATCATTTGGTCACATTTTCTTGTTTTTTCCTCATCTCTAGAATTTATTTTCATTTTATTTTCATTACTGGACTGTCGCGAGGAAGCCACACGTTGCGAGGACTGCGGGGCTCCTGGATCTGAGGGTCACTGTCTGGAGCCAGCTGAGGAGGGAACAGGGCTCTGAAGCCCACTGAGCCTGTCCCAGGGGGGTCGCAGATGGGGGAATAAACATGAGTCGTTGCAAACACTTCTCTGTTTGCCAGGAGAGGGGCAAGGGCACTTTCCTCTAGTGGAGAAGCCCCCTGAGCCCCTTTTTCCAAAGGCTTTTATTAAAGGGTTATCAGTGGGGTCAGGTGATAGGAATGTGTAGCTTATCTCATTACATCAGTATGTTAATGTTTACAGAGAATAGATGATGTTTTGAAGAAAACAAATGGCAGGAACACACCGATTTACATGGGTCCAAGAGGAGGCTAGTAAACGTGAGAGCGCCAAAGGGTATAGGGTTAGGGTGTGTGAATAATGTAAATTTCCTTTCCAGCACGAGCTGGCTATCATAGCTTTTGAGGGAGAAACAAAGCATGCTTTAAAGAATTTACTTCCAGGCTTGATTTCCCCTGGGAACCGCCAGATGCAGTTTAGAACTGTCTCCAGTATTGTTTGGAGTCTGAGCCAGACAGGGGGAGGGAGCCTCCAAGAGACAAGGAGACTTCTGTCAGATAGAATGAGGACCCGGCAATGTCCAAGCCAAGCCAAGGGGTGCGGGCCTTTTTGCCCTTTCTCCGTGCCCCCCAAGTCTTTGCCTGCTGCCCATACCGGCCATGTCTATCTTAGGTCACCTCTCCTCGTGAGAGATCTTACCAGTCTTTGACTAACTGACCATCACAGGGCCAAGCAGGGTGATGTGAGGGAGGCAGGGGCTGCACCCCTGCCAGGGGGACAGGTTTCATCTCCTCAGTGGCCTGTTTTCCCAAGGCCTCCTTGATTATTTCCAGCCTTGGGGCCCTCTTACCTGTTGGCTGGGCTACAGTTCCTGAAACCAGATAGGGCATTTCCCAACACTGGACACAGTGTGTAATACATTATAAAGTCTGGGTTCCGTTTTCTGTCTGTGAAGATTTTTTTTTCCCAATAGGCGTTCAAACTACTGGTCATTACCTTGAATTCACAGAAATTTGCCTTATACTTTGGTAGCCTGGGTATGTTTCAGTGTTGCCTTACTCTTAGGATAAATTCCCCATCCTGGGCCATTGTCGCTACCTCTAAGACATGACCCATCTGGGATTTCAGTAGAAATCCCAATGGGTTTATCAAGCCCCCTAACTTGATTGGATTTGAACTCTAAGCTCCGCCTCCCCGCCACTGGCTTGAACCTCTTCCCATCCTTTCCCTCCTTCCTGTTTTCCCCAGGCTCTGGGAGGGGGGGTACCCCTGATGCAGTCACAGGTCGGGGCAGCTCAGGGTTTCAGGGAGGCTTCTCTGCCTCTTAGGAGAACTTTCTCCACAGCTCTCTCCTTTTCAAGCTATGCCCCATAAAAGTGCCACTGCTCTGGCAGCCCTCAGCTCTCTCCTCGGAATGCCCTGCACCACACAGACTGAGGAGCATCCTCAGGGGGAGGCGGTGCCAGCACAGATCTCAGCCGGGCAGCTCCCGCTATCCAGCATTAAATAGTCTCCATCCTCTGACTGCTCTTGCTTACTCTCAGTGCCTTCAAATAGCTATGTGTATGCAACCCCTTTATGTATAATGACTACATTTTATAAGCTTATATTTTATAGTCTATATTTTGTAAAAAAGTAATTGTTTCTATATATAAAAAGTAGTATATAGCTATACATCTATATTTTAGGTACATATAAATATATAATTACCCTAATGCCTATATTCTGTGCAGATGCATTTGTCTGATAGAAGCTATTTTACAATTACCAAAGGGGGAAATTCTTAGTCTACCACATATTTTAAAAAGTTAAAATTTAATTTTCTATATTTGCCTCAGCTTAAAATTGATATTGGCTAATAATATTCTTTACTATATAAATTGAATATATGTGTTGAAATATATCTTGGTTATACTTTGTGCCAGTCCTTTATTTATTTATTGAAATAATTTAAAACATATGACTCTACTTGATGCCATTAGATTTTTCAGTCACTGTAAAGTCAAATTTAAAATATAAACACAGGAAATGTGGTCTTTCATAGGCTTGCTAGAGGTGTGGAAATACTTTGTATCACAGAAATGTGTAATTGAAACCTATATAACCTTATTAACTAATGTTAACCCAATAAATTTAATTGAAAGAAAGAAAAAATATAAAGAAAATTTTTAGTTATCACCTTTTACTTTATGTATAACTTAGTCCTTCACATATATAACATGATAATTTTGAAGACAATAATTTTTGTCATCAGCTAGGATATATTTTATTGTCATTGTTTTCAGACTGTTTTTTTTCTGCCTTCAAAAATTGGCCTGTCTAAATGCTTATATTTTCATCTATACTGCAGCATCTATTTATAGTCCCAGATTGTATCACAAGGGAATGTGTTCAGCTTCTTTATTTCTTGAGTCCTCATTTTATTGGATATACTTGAACTATATCAGGACTTGGTTGGGATTAAACCTGGCCATCCCTCATCTGAAGAGGGATCTCTTCAGGGTATTAGTTAACATAATAAAGAGTCCTTGCCCACTAGTTTTGCCTCATACCATCTGTATGTTTCAAATTGCTCCTTTCTGTCAGCTCTTCCCATTGAGGCTCTGCTTATCTTCCCCAGGCCAAGGGCAGACGGCAGCCTCCATTTCTGTTTTACATATAATCAATCCCAATGGTGTATGACCGCACATGGATGGGTTCTTTAACCTTTCTTTGACTAAGTGTCTGCATTTCCCTGGTGGCCCATCTACAAGACAGACATGTTTATAAGGAAAACTTTGTAAAGAACATACAAATGTTTCCAACAAGACCATTATGACAACAAACTGCTTTGTACTATGTAAACTTGAAAAATTAGATGTTATAACAGCAACAACAATCAGAAATTTCAGGTAACATAGGTAGCTGTTATTATTTGATAAGCCTGGTCTATGGTGGCGTATTTGGGTTACATGATGTGAGCTGGGGGAAAGAACGACAGCGTTGTTTCTTATCAGTAAGTGGTCCAGGATTAAATACAAGACCTTCTGTAGCTTTGGTTTGATGGCCTGAAAACCAGAGTCATTAGTTTGATTCCCAGTTAGGGCACATGCCAGGGTGGCAGGCCAGGGTCCCCAGTAAGGGGTGCATGAAAGGCAACCTCACATTGATGTTTCTCTCCCTCTTTCTCCTTCCCTTCCCCTCTCTCTAAAAATAAATAAATAAAATCTTTTCTTAAAAAGGGGGTTATTCTAAGCCAGGGATCCTCAAGCCTTTTTTCCCATGACCCACAGGACAGGAAGTGCTCCTGTGCATGGCATCCTTTCACGTGGTGTTCCTGTCTTTGTACTGGCTATATTTCTAATCCTTTTCTTCTACTTAACAGCTTGTTTCAATTAACTGTACTTTATACAAATTTTAATATCAATATTAACCTTCAGATAGCTTTCCCATTGATATCAGCACAGAAATTTAAACAAAATGTGACATTGTGGTAATGAAACACAACACTAATTACGCAAATTATTTTGTTCATTGTTGGCAGTGCAGATTTTTCAGTAGTTGGACCTTGAAAGCTTGTCTGTGTCTTGCAGGATGCGGGCTGGCTGGTAGGAGTGAAGGAATCAGACTGGCTCCAGTACAGAGACCTCGCCACCTACAAAGGCCTCTTTCCAGAGAACTTCACCCGGCGCCTGGTTTAGGGCCAAAAATATTGTAGAAAGAGCCTGGTTTGGGGATTTTTAAACCTTCGTGCAAGCCTGCAGAATTCACTTCTGCTATTACACTTAATGATTTACAGCCTGATGCCAGACAAAGCTTGGAAGGATGTATCAATGAAATGCGTGTGCAAAAAAAGTATAGGAAAAAAAAGTAAATGAAGGAGAAAGTCCTCAGTGGTTCCCATGTTAAGAAGAAAGGGTCTGTTTGTACTTTGTCCAAGCTGTGGAGACCCTTGTACTTGGTCTCCTCCCAGCGATTCTAAAGTAATTTTCTCCAGACGAGAACCTTAATTTCTCTGCACCAAGTGTGTGGTATTGAGAGGCTGCCCTGCAGAAGACGTGATGAGTTATCCTGTAGTACAAGATTATTTTACTCCCCAGTGCAGGTGTGAGCACGTGCGTTCTCGATCTCTCCCCCTTTCAAGTTTACTGTGTTCAAAGTTAAACTGCAGAAGTTTTTGATGTTCTTTTCCAAGGACTCTCTCCCTCTCTTCTGTGTGTGTGTGTGTTTGTGTGTGTGTGTGTGTGTGTGTGTGTGTGTGTGTGTTTGCGTGCGTGCGCAGTAGCACGAGCTAGTTCCCCTCACTCCTGGATCTGTGTGTATGCACAAAACGACATATACATAGTTGCTTTCTTTCCTTTCCACTATAGACATTTGCCTCTCAAGTGTTATTGATACATGCATTTCTCTCATTCTGTCTGGCATTACAAATGCAATTTTGCCTCAGAACAAACTCAGCCATTCCATTGCCAAAACAGTCATCAGTATCCGTGTTCGTGATGTGCATTTTTCAGGGTGTGAGGACAGATAGATAGCATGACAGAGCTGCTGTCTTCATGGAGAAGGCAGAGCTTAATGCTCTAAATATCTGGCTGCTGCGGCTGGAGGCAGGCTAGTCGGGAGGAGTAGCAAACTGCTTAACTTCTGACTTTCAGAGATTGGCGTGACAATGGGGCATATAATCCCACCCCAAAAGAACACTTAAAAAGAGCCCCTTATATTTATGCAACTCATCTTCACAGATTGTCCTAAAATAAGATAGGTGATGTATGCCGTATCCACAGATCATCTGTAATGATAATGTTTTCAGTGCTTGTTGTTCCCAATAAACCTTTGGTCAGCTCCAGCAATTTACCTCAATTCCTTCTGATGAGTCATTCTTTCTGGAAACATGTTCTCAGTCACATGCACTACTTGAAACAGTTTATGTTGGAATTGTTATTTGTGCAGAAATCTGCTTGTTCCTCTTGGTCCGCGGCCCTCCTTTATTCCTGCAGTCCACTCATTTCAGTGATTGCTGATCACTCGGAGGTCGCAGCTGCCCGACAATCACAGCACAAATAACAGCTGTGGGTGAAGGCCCCGCAGAGGTGCCGGCTCTGGCCCGACTCTGTACCATCATGGAAAGTCTGGCGATCATAATCAGCAGTTTCTTCTCAAACCAGCCTCATTTTTGTCACTTTTTTTTTGTGACATGTTTATGTTTGTGGGAACATAAAAAGATAAATAGATCAGATGGCAATAATCAGATGGACCATTGTTTATGGAAGAGAATTCTTAAAGCAAAAAACCTGCCATTTCATTTAGACTCTTTTTTGCCAATATAATTCTATATACAATGAAGCTGATCAAGAATGCATGTTATTAGACTTTTAATTTTGGTTTGTATTTCTGATTTATGGTTTGAAATCTCCAGATGGACTTCTGTCTCTAATGTTTAGGTGTTAATAGGGAAATAGCAATTATTTAACCAAGATTTTTTCAAGGGCCAATTTACAGGGAAGCTGGATCATCATGAATGCTAGTCTAGTGCAAGAAAACAACAAGCCAACATGCACTACCCAGCGGCATAACTAATAATTCAGCAAATAACATGCAGCATTGTAAGACTTATAGTAGATTCCATTATGACATTGTGAGTGCATGAGAGAAGTTGGACACTAAGAGTGAAAAAGTATCCCTTAGATCAATCCACCTGATCTTCTACAAGACCATTGCCTCATTGCCTGGAGCAGGTCCTCCAAAATTCCTTTCCCACTCCTCCAGTAGCAGCTCCCAAAGTGTACAGCTGGGAAGGATGTAGCTCTTGATAAGTGTAGCCCACATCTGAGACATACTTTTAATTGCTACACTGTCCTAGTGTATGGTCTTTGAACAAATTTTAACACCAAATAGAGGAAATCAGATTATTTGTTGCAAAAATTTTCAAGATCCTAAATTTCCCAAAGCTGTGAAAATTAAGAGGATGAGGGGGAGAGGGATAGGATAGTGGCATTCTCCAGAAACATCTACAGATAAGGAATGAACATGTTTTCCATTTCAGTGAATTTTCTCAGGGACCTGTAATGAGTTGGTTTCAAGGGCTTCCTGTAGTTACTAGTTTGAAAGGTCCTACAGCTTCCCTTTCTAGTTAATTCAAGGACCACCAAGCCACCTGGCATGTCATCTAGTCATATATTGGTGTTTATAGCTACACTTTATTCCAAAAGGCCTGGACCCAGAAAGCCCTATCCAGCATCTTCTGTAGATTTCTCTTACAAACCCAGTGGCACTTGGAACTTCAAATGGTTTAAAGTACTTTCAGAGAATTACAGAAAGAAAGCCTGTGAGTTTTACTGAACATACACCTTTCTTGCAATATCACATATAGACACACATTTAAACCTGAGCAACGTGTATATATGCTCAGCAAAGCTCTCTGGCAATTTGAATTTTTAACAATATCTTGGTCTATCTAGGGCCCTGGGATGGGAAAACTGCCAGGCACCATGCTATCACATTGCTCCCACCAGGGGATGCTCTTTCTGACAGAGCTGGGACAGCTTCTGACTGAGTAGAACACCATGCCCACCGTGTGCTCCAGGGAGAGTGCATGTTCAGAATTTGGAGCCCTCTCTTATGACATGAAGAAGCCTATAATCAGGCTCTTAGAAAATTCCAGCATGATCCTATGGCTCATTCTGATGGTCCACTAAAGAAAAAGCCCTTGGGAAAGTGCAAAAGTTATAATAAATCAATGAGTTTAAAAATGAAGCTCAGAGCTTTAATCCACACAAATAGCATTGCCATACACCTTAGAAATGGACTGATTTGCCTTACTAGGACTCCATCACTGTTTTGAAACCCAGCTAAAACCTTGCAAATATTCTGTGGCAGACCTTGGAGATGAGCAATCACAGTTTCCCTGTGTGGTGGTGTGATGCCTGTCTTCCCAACGTGATGTAGCCGCTTCCCAGGACTCGCATCTGTTGAACTGGACAATTGGTAGGTACGTGGAGAAGATAATGACCGAGTTCTCTTAGCAAACCCAGAGCCTCGAGAGCCAGGTGGCTCTGGCTGGCCTTGACCCTGCCTTTCGGAGACCGACTTGCAGTTTACCCCCTGGCGCGAACCAGGCTGAGCGGTCCCTGGCTGTTCACGGGCAGCGCTCCCTGGCCCACAGGAGGGGTAACATAAATTGTTCATAGAAGCCAAATAACATAATGCTGAAATAAACTGGAGAGTCCATCTAAATAGCTTGTGACTCGTTAGCTATCCTTTCCTAAAATTGCTTAATGGCAGCACATGTTGGCCTTTTTAGTTTAAAAAGTAATTGAGACACAACCCTTAAATCTATGAAAATTGAGAGAAGGTCTTGACATTCTTACAAAGGATATCTACAACATTTGGTGGTGGGAAGGTGGAGACAAATGTATTTGAACAAAAAATAAATAAATAATAAATAAATAAATAAAAGGACATCTACAATTTTTCTTGGTTTCCAAAAATCTAGTTAATTCCCAGTCTCCTGAGATCTCAGATCCAGGACTCAGCCTGTCTCATTCTTCTATGATGGGTCAGAGTTGTGTCCTTGTTCCCTCCCCTGGAGTTAGCTCTGGACAAACCTTCCATCATGCATCCTAATTCCACATGGCTGATGCCCTTCTACCCTCTCCGCCACCAGCAGATATCATTAAATTCTGTTTAATGTGTCCTAGTGCTCTGCTCTCCAAAATCCTACCAGTGAGCACAAAGTGATTTCTGTGGCCTTTGACGATGCCACCAAACTTCTCCAAGTTCTAAGATTCCAAGATATTTTCCTTGATTTCCTACCTCTCCCATTGTCCTTTCAATGTCACTTTTCCTAATTTTTTCTTGCCTTTACCAGTGGGTGCAAGAGTTGGGCATCAGGTGGGACAATATCAATCTCCATCCATTGGTTTGTACTTCAGCTGTCTGGAGAATGTTTCCTTTGGAGTGTCTGATAATTGTTCCAAGACCACATGTTCACTTGCTCATTAAACATTTGTCAAGCTCTTGTTAAGTGTCAGTCACTGGGCTATATTTACTAAGACTTAGCAATCTTGGAACACCTCTCAAGGCCCCCTGCACCACAATCCTAATGAGGGTTCCCCTTCTTCAGAACCTGAAGCCTGAGATGTGGGAGCCCATGCTGTGCTTCATTTTCCCCAATACAAACACCTGCCTTGATTTCCTCCCTCGCAATGCCATGAGACCTTGCACTTTAATCCCTGCCACCCGATCTAGGAGAAGTCCTCAGCCTGCCAAGGAAGACCAGGTGGTCCGTCTTGTCGCCCTGGTCTTCCACTCCCTCTTCTCCAACTGGCCTGTGCTCCTTAAACCATCTGCTATACACCGATGTCGAAATGTTACCATCCCCACTCCCCGCCACGCACACACTGATGATGAGTATCTATTGTATGTCATATCAAATCCCTGCACCTGTGCTTGGCTTTCAAAACCTTCCATGCCTTCACTAATGCTTGTCTTCTACATCCTTCAGATGAGTCTCCGAGTCCTCTCACTGTTCCGCCCTGCCCTTCCACCGCCCCTCTACACTCTGCTTGCTGGCCCTGTTACAGCCTCCTTCTCCAGGAGCGCCCGCCCCTCCCTGTTTGCTTCTGCAACGGCCCCTCAGGGCGCAGTTTAGGTTCCACTCCCTGAACTAAGCCTTCTCCAATTCACTCCTCTGCCTGAACCCATTCGGCTCTCTTAATTCATTTAGTATAATCATGATATCACTTAGCCCTTCCTTTCCCCTACTAACTGATAAACTATCAACCTTTTTCTGTATTCTGGATCTGCCCCAGGTACTTCAATAAAGGTGCATGGAACAAGTGAACAAGATAACAAGATTCCCGTGTGACCAACTAGTTCAGGAAAGTCTGGAAATTCCAATCACAGGATCAGCATAGTCTGAAATATTAAATTAAATAAAATATAGATTGTTTTTGTGACATTGAAGTGAGAAATATCGTTTTAAATCTTCAAAGAATGCAAAATGTATGGCAAAACACATTTGACTATAGTACTTGTTACTTTAGACAAAGTTGGTAGACAGATGATAGATTTGGATCAGGATATTTGCATAATAGCCAAAATTCACAAAGGATGACTGTCTAGAAGACATAAGAGAAACATGTAAGTCAATAAGAAACTAATAACAATAATAATTACTATAGCCTTCATATCATTTTATAATTCAATTATATTTATAGTTTTATCTTTTATCTACATTATTAATAAATTACTGTTAATAGTTAATATAATAACTAACATTTGCTGCATGTCCATTCTCACTGCCAGTAAACAGCAGGGCCAGGCACTCCCCAGGCAGCCTGGTTCTCACATACGCCTTAACCCTCTGCTTTTCAGTCTTCTTCTTTCTTTTCCTAAATGGCATGAATGAGCAAGTCTCTGAAGGAGACACTTTAATAGATCCTAGGTATAAAGAGACCCTCAGCTTCCTAATAATCAGAGCAGTGGGAAAAATTTCATAGAACAATCAGAATACTGCTCGGTGGCCACCAGGTTGCTAAAAAAAATGTTGGGTAACAGAGGCTTATGGCCAAGGTGGGGGTGTAGGTAGATATGCTTTGTTTCTTTGCACAACCAAAAAAAAAGGACAACAACCAATTAGAAAGCACAAAACAGCCAGAACTGCCAGAAAATCAAACTGTATGGAAGTCTGACAACCAAGGAGTTAAAGAAAAAACATTTATCCAAACTGATAGGAGGGGCAGAGATGGGAAGCTGGGGCAGAGAGGAAACGCAGCAATGCAGTGGCTGGCAGATGAGGCAGTCCCACATTAGCTTGCTGATAAACTAAGAGGAACGAC